AGCATCTTCTGTTTACTTACCTGATTGATGTCTCTCTGTTTGCAGGATATGGGGAAATATAGATCTGTTGTCAGGTAGCTCAGGGACAGAAGGAGGAACCCCACTCCACACAGAAAGTCAAGGATAGGAACATCCAAGAAGTCAAGCTGAAGCTCATCCATGCTGCAGCAAGGCTCCTCAGACAAAGAAGAGGGCCTGCTTCACCAGAAGTTGGTCACTAAGAGTGCATGTTCTAGAACACAGTTCCATATCCACATCACAGAGCTTTAGTACAGACACCAGAGGTTCTTGAGGGTGGGGGAGGGGACAACACATGGGAGATGAACCCATGCCCTTCGCCCATTACCAAACCCTGCTGATCTATCCATTCCCCTAGGGACTTTGAGATTCCTCCACCTCCCCCCTCAACCCCCAACTCCACCCTTTCACTATATCATACATCCACCTCAGTGACATATTCTGCTTTTTTCTTCTGTTACCTGGAGAAACAAGAGAGCACTTCACTGTTTGGTGATCTCTCACATAGGACCAAAGAACAGAAACCAAGATGAAGAGGAAAACAAGGGCATAGCTTGTCCATGGCAATATCTTCTAATAAATCTTTCTCTACAAATCTCTTTTAAGCTATCCTGCCCCTTCAGGCTCTCCAATATCTCCCTCTCTACTGGTATACTGTCCCACCCGGCTGCCTCTTGGCTCTCCCCACTTATCCCCCTACTCTCTCCTTTCCAACAGTTTTTAACTGTCTTGATTTCACAGAGCAGTTGTGCTAGACCATAACCTATGACCAAATCCATCCTGATTTGAAAAGTAGGCTTCTCTGCAGTGTCATATAAACCTCTAATGAGCACAGTTAAAATTCTATTTAGCAAAGTAGGTTACTTTCTCCCAGCATGTATGGTTACATTCTCATGAAATTATGAGGTTTCATCTCTTCCCAACTTTGTTTCTAACAAAATTCCTACTGGTTCCTCCAAATGTTTTTTGAAACAAGATGTTATTCTTGTGGATGGTGTAGAGTATATGTATTTTTAATCTCCCCATGTGAGCTAGCTATTTAACATTTATTACCCTTAAAGCTTTCTTGTTTAGATTATAAATGATTATACTTAAATTAGGATTGAAATTAAGCCCTGTGTCTTTTCCTGAAATTGTCTGCATCTCTTCGCTGGGTCTGGTGAATTCATCTGCTTTGGCCACAGACATCCAACCCTTTCCTTTTCACGTGATGAAGGCTTTTCAGTATTAACAGCCCCCTTCTTTGCTTGTCTTCAGCATCCACAGCTTCTTCTGGTCTCTACCTAACAGAAGGTCTTCATCAAGCCTGTCTCCTCTTATCTACCTTCCCTTGACTACAGGAGGTCTCTCTATATAGAAAAATCTCCACATAGCCTAGCATCTCTAGTATTATTGTTTGTTTGTTTACAACAAACCTGGCCCTGGCAACCCCTGAGGTCCCAAGGATCACAAATATAAAAGCATTCTTTAAAATCTGAGCAAGATAAACTCCACCCCAAAACTTCTAGATAGAAATGGAGTTATAAAACACAACATTGGATATGTTATTAAAAATTGTCATGTTAAGAAAAAAAGAAGGGCTAAGAAACTGTTCCAGTTTAAAGAAGACCAAAGATACACAACAACTAAAGGAAATGTGACACTCTAGGCTGTATCTTATAATGGAGATTTAAAAAATTATAGTCTCAAGGTGTATTACTGGGAAAAAATCACAAAAATGCAGTATGAATGAGATTAGTTCAAAATTTTTATGACTATGCTAAATTTACGAAAGGGGAAAATTTAGTATATAAGAGAATATCTTTTTTTAATATTCACAATAAAATATATAAGGAGAAAAAGCATGATGCATGAAATGTATTCTGAAATATTCAGGAATAAATGTGTATTAATCTTGTTTGTATTTGTGTATATATGCATATATGTACATGTGTATGTGTATATACACATATATTATATACACATACACATATACATATACATGCACACACATATATACATATAGAGAGGCAGTGAGAGAGGATCCGACAAATGTGTCAAAATGTTAACAACAGGTAGTTTTACTTTTTAAACAATTTATTGAAACATATTCATATACCATAAAATTCACCCAATTCAAGTGTGTAATTCAGTGATTTAAAAAAATTATTTTTAGTTGTAGTTGGACACAATGCCTTTATTTATTTATTGTTATGTGGTGCTGAGGATAGAAACCAGTGCCTCGCACATGCTAAGCGAGCACTCTACCGCTGAGCCACAACCCTAGCCCCTAATTCAATGATTTCTAGTGTATTCAGAGTTGTGCATTGTCGCTGGAGTCAATTTTAAAATGCTTTTGTGACTTCAAAAAGAAACCATGGATTCTAGATTTCACACTTATCAGCCTTCATCCCCCAGCCTTAAGCAATCACTAGTCTACTTTCTGTTTCTAATTAAAATTCCCTATTTCATTTCATAAGAATAGAATCAGGTAATATGTGGTCACTTGCTACTGACTTCTTTCACTTAGTATAATTCTAAAGTTCATCCATGTTGTAGCATGTATCAATGTTTTATTCCTTTCTTATGGCTAAATAATATTTGCATAGATATACCACATTTGTTTATCCATTCACTAGTTAATGGGCATGTGGGTTGTTACCAACCTGGGCTATTGTGATAATGCAGCTATAAATATTCATGCATAAATTTCTGTATTTTCATTTCTCTTAGGTATATACCTAGAAAAGGTATCACTGGGTCCTATGGTAACTCTACATATGGAATTTTAAGGAATTTCCAGAATGTTTTATAAAACAACTGTACCATTTTACATTTTAACCAGCAGAGTATGAAACTTCCATCAATTTCTCCATTTTTCCTCAGAGGTATTTATCTGACTTGTTGATGCTTACCATCCTAATAAGTGCAAAATGTTATCTCTCAGTGTGTTTCATTTTTGTTTTCTTGATGTCAAGCACATTTTTATATAATCTTTTACATTTAGTGACTTTTGGGGAAGGAGAGGAAATTTATGGCTAGAAAAAAACACATTGTTTTCTTCTAAATATTTGAAAACATTGACATGGAACTTTCAAGCATTTATCAGCATAGACAGATTTCTTAATCTTTAGTTTTAATTAAGGTTACCGTATGATTAAGGCACTGCAATATTGTGTGCTGAATTTGCAAAGACTATTTCTTGTACTGTCTGTGTTAAGGGGTGGAACTCGGTAAATGACTCCTCATAATTACTAAATGATAGAGCAGAACTCATTGCCAAAGCCAAAAAGGCTCAATGTTTTTAGTCACTAGTGCCATGGTCCACTGTTGTAGATAAATATGTTCCTCCTATGAAAATATCAAAGGATTATGAGTGTATTAACATATAATACCATATCATCTAAGAATGACAAGATATTTAAATGAATTTTGGAATTTTAATCAAGAAGAGGATACCTCACTCATGTCAAATGATAATTGCTGAGGGAGTGTACACAGACAGTTGTATTGTTCTATATGTGCCTAAATATGTTTAAAATTTTTTGTAATGAAAAGCTTTGAAAAGTGAAAGATGTTGACTGATTCATGAGGAGAGAGAGGGACCAAT